GCTGCTCCAGTAGGTGAGAGCTCCTCCCAGGAACTCGCTGTGCTTAATGTTGCATTTTGACACATGCATGAACACTTCAGGTGGAAAAATAGGAATCTGTAGCTTCACAGACCTGTTGTGATTTGTGTTTATGTTGCTCTTGTGGCAGAGCCTGGAGGCTATGTTATGATCAGAGGCCCATCACGCCAGGTCCTGAGCAAATACACCCTGAGGTGGTCAGCTCTAGACAGTTCATGTCAGCAATGAGGAACAGACTCTCTGCCATTCTCATGAGATTATAAATTGATATTTTGGCCCCAAGGAGGTTCCTATGAAGTCAACATTGAGAAGGGGGTATGCAAAAGTTACTTCTTCACTAGAAAATTGCTAATATGGATGTGTGTGCTCGTGTGTCTACGTAAAAACAAACATAGAGACAATAGAGACCAGGACAATATTTAGTATTTTCTATGTGTTAGGAACATCTGTACTGCCAGTAAGGATTAATATGTGCTTAGAGAAACATACTGCATGTCAGTGCTCTGCTTAATATGGGCCAATTTTTGAAGCTGTCACTTCTGCCATGCAGGACCTTTGCTTTTACCAAGGGGAAGTCATGTTTGACCAACCTTGCAGCCTTCTATGAGGAAATAACTAGGTGGATAGATGATGGTAGAGAGGTAGATGTGATTTATCTTGATTTCAGTAAAGCATTTAACACCGTCTCCCACAGCATCCTTGTAGATAAGCTGAGGAAGTGTGGTCTTGACAATCAGGTAGTGAGATGGATCATGAATTGGTTGAAAGGAAGAAGTCAGAGAGTTGTGGTGAATGGGGCAGAATCTGGTTGGAGGTCTGTGACTAGTGGAGTCCCTCAGGGGTCGGTACTGGGACCAGTACTGTTCAACATCTTCATCAACAACCTGGATGAGGGAACAGAGTGTGCCTTCAGCAGGTTTGCTGATGACACTGAACTGGGAGGAGTGGCTGACACACCAGGAGACTGTGCTGCCATTCAGGGAGACCTGGACAGGCTGGAGAGTTGGGCAGGGAGAAATCTGATGAAATTCAACAAGGGCAAGTGTAGAGTCTTGCATCTGGGGAAGAACAACACCATGTACCAGTACAGGTTGGGGGCTGACCTGCTGGAGAGCAGTGTAGGAGAAAGGGACCTGGGGGTCCTGGTGGACAGGAGGATGACCATGAGCCAGCAATGTGCCCTTGTGGCCAAGAAGGCCA